GAATGCCCAGATTTCGTTTCACTGAAGTCATACTGGCTTCACACGAACACTCACATGGAATACTTGCAAGCGTTTTCATCCAAACACCGTCTTTATTTTATTTTGTTTTTTATAATGGTCTCAGGGTACAGTGGAATATATCATTCTGTGCTTGACATGCACCTCCTCTTTTTATTTAAGTGGTTATACTTCTGTATTTTCCTGTTTTTAAAGGATGTGGCCCAAGAATAGTGTGTTAAGGAGCAGATATACTGGAGGGGAGGGCTAAGTGACCTGCGTTGCTCTCATTAGCACTGCTTTCTGTGTCACAGAATCATGCTACCAGAAAATTTCTCAGGGATGGTTAGCCCCCCCTTCTCTTACATGCAGTCCTCCTGACACAGAGTGAGGCTGCTTTCAGCCTCGGGGCATATTACAGTCTGGTTACTGAGTATATTGTAGCATTATTGCTTTGTGTGTAGTTCCCTGGATGAGTTAATTAAAATGCTTGCTTCGTTGTGTTAAGGTTGAAGCTCTCTCCAAGTCCCTCCTCCCGTGTTACAGTCTCTCGGGCTACCTCCAGCAGCAGCAGTAGCAGTACTTCACTTGTTCGCTCTTCCCGAGGCAAGCGAAAACGTATTGAAGCAGAGGAGCTTTCAGGCAGCGGAACAAGTGGAATTGGCACTGGAAGTATCAGTGGCAGCAGTAGTAGCAGTAGCTTCCAAATGTCCCAGCAAGCTTCAGCTACGGGAAGTATCAGCATAGAAGAGATAGACCTGGAGGGCAAATACGTTCAACTGAAGAACAACTCGGAGAAGGTGAGTGTCAGCAGAACTCCTAGGAAACCAGGAGGAGGAGCTGAAGTGAAATGTTACACAGCCTTTGTAGCACAAGCAGGTGGAGGCACGTGGAGAGCAGGAGCCACAGCTCAAGGTGCAGCATCCTGCAATGATTAACAGGGGCGTTTGAAAGCTGAACGTTACAGTGTGCTAGCACAAGTGTAATGTTTGCTGCAGGAAGAGAACGGTTTGTGTCCCAAAGGTCTAAACATGCGTGCTGGTACCTTGCTCATGTGAATAGCCTTGCTGGCTCGAGCAGAACTGCTTTGTGTGAAATATGTAACTTTTAAAATTTTGGTGAATGACCTTATGGGATTTACACTTTAGACTATTAGTGGGTATAGAAAAATACTTTCAAGTTAGAATGCAGATGTCTACCAACCATGTAAATAAATTTATATTCACATTATTTTAGTAACAGAGACCTAGAGAAAGCTCTGATGCCTGTTTGCTCTGTTTTGCTCACAGTAAATAACCTTATGACTCTCTCCATTAGGATCAGTCTTTGGGTAACTGGAGACTGAAAAGACAAATTGGAGATGGAGAAGAAATTGCTTACAAATTTACTCCTAAGTATGTCCTCAGAGCTGGCCAGACTGTTACAGTAAGTTATACTTGCAGCCTGTCAAGAGCGTGTTCCTTAGTTGATGCTGTGGCAGTTGTAAATCTGACATTTGGTACTGATTTGGTGTATAACTTCTGGTTTCATGGATCTCGCTTTGGAGGAGCAGGATTTCAGTTATAAAAACGCAGAACAAAAATTGAATTTCTATAGCAGCACGTCAGTATTTAAGACCATTTCGGGCACAGAGAAAGTTGAAGAAAAAGGGATTTTGGGGAGCAGGTCAAGGGCTGTTTGTTTTCAAACACTTTTGCCCAGGTTTGGAGCACTAACCCTGCCCAGCCTCTTAATGAGACAGGAACATTTCAGAGCATTCATTCAGTCTAGTAGACTTCAGTTAAGTTTAAGACTAGATGTTCTCAGCCTGAACTGTAGTAGAACAGCTGCTTTTCTGTAATTTTGTATTTTATTTTCAATCTGCAACAATGTTCTTTCAGAAGAAGAAATGGCTTCCTTTTAATCAGTTCCAGCTATTTCTGCTTCAGTATCAATTGCTCAGATAGATATAAAAGATGAAATTGATACAAGTCATGGTGCAGGTAAAAGGATAAAACTGCCATGGGAATTCAGAAACAAAACTGGTATGTAGAGAGATGTGGGAGAATAGGGGGTTCTGTATATTTAAAAACAAAAAGTGCATAAATGGCTAATTACAGAATGTCTTTCTCTCTAGATTTGGGGTGCAGATGCAGGCGTATCTCATAGCCCCCCTTCTGTTCTCGTGTGGAAGAATCAAGGCAGCTGGGGCACCGGAGCAAATATCCGCACGTACCTCGTGAACTCCGAAGGGGAGGTAGGCGGTGGCTGCAGAAAAAAGCTGTGGGCTGGGTTAGCTCCCAAACTCTTTAATCTGGGGGGCGGGGGTGACGACAACAAACCCCTGATTTTAAGATCTCCCCTATTGTCTTCTAAAGTAAGACCGTTTATAAGGCTGAAATAATTAAATATCTGTACGTATCTCTGAGATTTTGGGGAAATTTTGGAAAACTGTGATCATCATCCTGATTACATCTGTAGACTTTTTTCCCTGTTTTAGAAAAAAACACCCTGCTAGTGGAGAATTTGTTTGGAATTTGAGTATGTATTTTCAGAAGAGACAAAGAAAATAAGTATTGCTGGCAATTCCAAGTTACAGTATACAGTACCTACAATATTCTGGGGTGCAATGTAAATATTAATGTAGGACAATAGAGTCCTTTCAATGTTGGAAATATATCAGAAGTTTTCATTTGGCACAGGTTCCTGTGTATTCTGCATTGTCCTCCATCTGCCCACAACTGATTTTTTAAAACCATCCCTGCAGAAGACTCCTGCAAGGGAGGATCGTGCTTTGGCTGTTATTCATAAATGTGCCATTATCCCAGCGATCTGATAGAAATAGGAAGGTGACACAGACCACAGTTGTATCAGTTTTCATGCTGCCTTTCTTGCTGGCAGTTCTGTGGAAGCGCTTTGTGCAGGAACAGCAGCACAGGACAAGGTAGGAGGGAGGGTCGTTTGTACAAATAGAAAGCTAACTGCCTTAGTATTCAAATAGAAGTGGTTAAATTAGTATCGGAAAACATTTCAAACCCATGTCCGTTCCCACTGCGGTTGCCTTTAGTATCCCTGCTTAGATGTGTATGTGTAGGGCGACTTTTGCCACAAGTAGAAATTTGCACCTGTGATTTGAAGGGTGCAAGGGTACAGAAGAATTTCTTACTACTAAGAAGGGTTAAAAATAATTTAGTAATAAAGGAAGCTTCCTGGGGCTTGAGAAGTCTTTTGAGTGCCTGGTTTGGAAGACTGTGCTGATAATTGATATATGCAATTGATATAGACTATTGAGGAGAAATTAGGAATATTCTTAATGCTGTGTAATCATACTGAGAAACTTGAGTTTCTCACATTACGATGTCTCAGACAGCTCCTAGCTGCGTCAGCTATGAGCTTCTATAAAATTGAGTAACGATCACCTGAAACACGGCTGCTTCCTCTCAGATCCCTAGGCAATGAAAGAAAATTCCTGAAGCTCAATTACATTACCATGCCTTTTAGTGGATAGAAATAGGAACGTTGTTGTGGTTTGCAGGATATTACAAGTATTTGCTTGCATAGCTGACATTAAAGCTAGGGCGAGCTGCTTTTAACCCTCCAAAATTTAATAGGGGTATGATATTGACGATATAGCAAACACTTGAGATAGACGTAGACTACTGGCCGTCTCCTTATCTGTCATTTTATGTAGGAAGTTGCAGTGAGAAGTGTTACTAAATCAGTAGTCGTGCGAGAGAACGAGGAGGAAGAGGATGAAGCGGAGTTTGGAGAGGAAGACCTTTTCAACCAACAGGTAATAAGATGCAGACCAGATGTTTAACTTGCGCCTCGGTGGTTGGATTAATCAGACATAAGATTGGGGGGGGGGGTCCCTTCAACTTTTGCCAGCTCTGAGCTTCCAGACCCATTTTTCCAATGGGTGCTTGCAGAGGATGATCTCGGAATGCTCGCAACCCTGCAGCATCGCTACAGTGCGCTTCCTCCAGGAACAGGAGCGCTTCCTCCAGGAACAGGAGCGCTTCCTCCAGGAACTGCTGCTTGAACCCATAGCGGTGCGGCTCAAGCGGTGGCTAATGGCAGGTCCGGATGCCAGGGTATCTATGGAAGTATGCAACAAATCACAGGTTTACAGCATTGCGATGATATAGACTATTTTTAAGGTTCGTAAGATTAGTATTAGCGGTCACTGTCCCTCCCATTCCGGTATTTGTGTCTCTACAAAAGTGTCTGTGGCATATTCCTGCTGTACACAGAATATTATCACCATTGGGAAATACAACCACTACAAACCAGGAAAGGGGGAGCGCTTCTGTTGCTGCAAGCTTCAGCTTACTGGTTTATTTTCTGATAGTATACACCTGCTACATTTGAAATACACTTGTTTTTTTCTTAATAATACCACCTGTATGTTGTCATAACCCTTAGTCAAGTACTATGAAATAACTGACCAGCAGCTGGCAGAGTGAAAAGGAAAAAGATACTTCATGCAGGTGACACCAGAAAATATTTTATTTCAAACTCAAGCGATTTGTTCTCCTGATCAGTGGCCATTAGTAGCTCTTTTCACAACTCATTCTTTGAGGTTTGAAGTTGAGTTCTGAAAGCTTTTTTGGTCTCCAGGAGATTGAGCAGAGTATTTGTAGTATAAAGCAACTGAAACTTTTTTTTTAACCCAAAGCAGCAGCTATGCAGCACAGAGCGCTCTCAAATGGCAACATCCTTTGAAATAAAGGAAGGAACCTCCTGTTCTAAAGCTAGCGACATTTTCATTTCTCACCTGTATCAGTGTTGAGAGTATGGAGAGTAACCAACCAACCCGTCGTAGAAAACCACAGCCCGAGTAGCGGTGTCTTAATCCTGCAGCAGACCGTGACGCGTGCTGTGCTTTCCCTGTAGTTGTGATGTTCCTTGAACGTAACTAAACTACAAAAAAAAAAATGCTTTAACTACTGAGATTATAACCAGAGTCTAGGCTTACAATATGAAAAGCTAGCAAGACTTGAGTTCAACTGTGTCTGTCTTATTTTAGGGGGATCCCAGAACAACCTCTAGAGGATGCTCAGTGATGTGAAGAAAGAAAAAAGAAACTATTATTTGCTAATTTTTTTCATTTATTTCCTTTTATTTTTGCTATTTTTTCCCCTCCAGAGCCACTGAAAACTATTTTTATATGCATCATCTGATTTCTTTGAAGTTTACTCCTTGGTACATTTTTATAAAAAAAATCAAAAAAAACCCTTTACTGAACAAAACTGCCAGAATTTTTAATAGATTTCTTTATTTTTCCCTCTTTGTTGAAACACTATATTGGAATACAACATTTTCCCACACAGAGTTTAAAGTGCTATGTACAAACTGCAGCAGAAAAGAAATTTTTAGCTAAAATGGGATGAGACTCCTTGAGTGTACGGTAAATCTGTAATTTCATATATAACCAGGATATAACTAAAAAAAAAAAAGTTTAAGACAGTGCGTTTATCTGCAGGGCCCCAGGAGAGCTCCACAGCAGTGTTTCCTCCCTGCTTTAAGAAATGGTAGTATCTTGCCTGGTGTCCTCAGCAGTGGCCAGCTTAGGGAAATTAGACGCCAAGTTCATTAAAAAGTGCTGCTCCCCCAGTGGAAGTTCCACAGGGAAGCTGCACGTGAGACGTTCTCAGGACCGTGGCGTCTTGTCCTGCTCCGGGATTTGACAGCCTAGTGTAAAACCATCCGAACCGGTCAACACCTGAGCTCCAGATCGTTAATTCAGAAGATGGAGAGTGGTGGGTTCTGCTTCCTGAACACATACGCCATCTTAAAGTGTGGAAGTGTCAAAACCTGAGTTTTAACTGGTTTTTTTTTTTCAGGGGACTTTGACATTGTCACAAAGGAGACCTTGTTAAATCATGGGCGCAAGTTGTGATGTACAGTGTTTATGATGTTAAGCATCATGATTTAATGCTTTTGACATATTCAGCATTAAACAGAATGATTAAGATTTTAGCTGTTAAAAATATTTTTACTTCTGGCGATGATAATTATTGGGGATTTTAAAGGTTATCCTGTGTAAATGTTGACTTTTTTTAATTGGAGCTAGATGCAGCTTGTTCATACTTGTGTTGTATTTAAAGGGGCATTGTCGGATATCTTAAGGAGCCGCATTTGCAAAATAGTACAGAAATAGTTTAATGACTTTTTTAAAAAGTTAAAAGGAACTGCTGATGTTCAGGGCGTAAGCGTTGCTTTGCAACGTTCAAATGCTCGAAGTAAAGTCTAACAGTGAGTGAAGGGAGAATAATTCGGTTTATAAAAAATGCTTTGTATGAGCAGCAGGGGATTTTTATTGCAGTATGATGCATTTTGTATCTGACAGTGCCCCTTTAGCTCAAGTTTTCTTCTGCTGCATTTCTGTGGCGATAACCGGCTCCCGTAAGGGTTAGTCCCGTCAGGTTACTATAGGGATATACAGTAGTACATCTTTAAGCACTAGGAAAAATACTTGACTGCTCCAAAGAATGTACTGGCTACTGTACAAGCGAATGTTTTTTCCACTAGTTGTTAGTTTGGATACAAAATTTGGATACCATTTGATGCCAGCAAAGAATCCTGTTTTTACCTGCACTCTTGAGCTCTGATCTTGCCATTCAAATAGTTTAGACTCCGCAAACAAGCTACAAGGTTTGGATGTTTTCGGTGGCTTTTGGACATTGTGTTCTCTGAACAGTATTGTGACTGACAGATATAACCTAGCAGGTCGGTTTAGTGGCTTTGACTGATGGCTTTGTAATGCAAGCAGGGTGGGAACAAACGACTTTTTTGAAGCTTAAGGATTTATTTTGCCATTTAAAAATAAATCAGAGATGTAACTTTTTGAGTGGGATGACTGAATTACTGAAGTTAAACTAATAGAAATTTAGAATTATGGTTTAATCCGTTATCAGAAGATCCATTACAAAAATCAGTATGCAGATTTGGCTGTTTGGGCTAATGGGACAACTTCATTGAGGTACTTGGCCATTTTTCTAATGTAATTTTCCCACTCTGCTTGAGTAGAAGGTTAAATATGTAGTAAATCATGTCTATCTCTCTGTAAAATGTATCTAGTGAAATTATGTTTCTCAGACATACTGTTATCAATTACCTTTTCTAAATTGGTTGTTATGCAAATGAATGCAATCAATGTAAAAGTATTTTTGCAATGCACCTTCCAACCACTGGACATCATTTCCCTTTCTGACCCACGGCTTCTATAACAGACTTACAGAATGTTTGAGGGCTTTTTGCTTTTTTCTAAAGATCTGTATGTATTTTTTTTTTACATTGGCCAGTTTTCAGATTGCTTATTCTTCAAGATTGTCCTGTAAATTTAAGATTGTTCTGTGATCTTAAATGCTAAAGCAATGAGTGTGTAGTTAATTTGCATTTTTTCTGTGATTTTTTTTTTTTTTTTTCCTGTAAAGAATGGGCTAGGAAAGGCAGCTCGAATGAGGAAAAACCTCTTGCTACCTGAGCCATAGTTTTCGTAACAGCTACTGTATGGGGAATGTGTCTTCTTGTAGCCTTAAGGACTGGTGCTTGCAGATCTTTTGTGATGAGCACTGTGCCCTTCGGTAACAGCCTGCAGAATTTGTCCTTAGATTCGGAACTGTGTCCTTTAACGTTGGAAACAGTTTGGTTTTTTCTTCAGTACCGTGTTCAGGTATGTACAGATGTTCGTATAAAACAGCGATGGACACTGTGGGAAAAGCTGAATGCCAGCAGTCTAAATGCGGGCGATTCTGTCACCACAGTGCTTTCTAAAAAGCTACTAAAAATGAGAAATAATTCCTAGCTGTAAATTACAAGACACAGAAAAACTACTGTATTCCACGTACGTCCTTTTGTGTGTCTGTGTCTTCTCTAGACACCATCCCTTCCTCTTGCTTTTGATGCTGAGCTCCAGTATAACAGCACTGAGGCTGGTGCTCCATACTGGGAGGTTTTTTGGCTTTACCAAACCGAAAAGCATTGTTTCTTTTTTTTCTGTCTTTCAAGGATTTTTTTTCTCCATTTTCAGGATAATTAAAGCTTTTTGTTCCAATAAAACCCAGTGTCCCCTTGCCCTCTTTCCCGATTTGATCCTGTATGCGAACCACTCTTGAAGAAGCTGGAGGACAGTCAGCACTTCTACTCCAGTGTCTGGTATCAGATGTAGAGCTTGAAGGAGAAATAGATTTGACTTGTCAGGACAAAAATGATTTTAAGGCTTCTCTGATTAGGGAAGTTAACCAGTATAGCTCTTATCACAGTAGTTACTTGAGTGTAACTACCCATATGGATGTTCTTATTCCAGAAAAATAAGCCAACACCTTTATTCTGGATGAAATAGCAAAAATGATTCCTAAATTATTCTCACTGGTTAACAGGGGGAAGGAATAACAGCGTACCTGCAGCAGAATCGTTAAGCCAATCTTTTCATTGTGTAGATCATCGCAGGATATCACATAAAATAGGATAAATGCATACTACCTACTTCTAAGTTTGTACTATGTGAAAATGCTTGTGTCGGAGCAAGCCCATCCACCTGCAGACCCAACGGTGACGTGGCGCCCTGCAGCGGGACACGGCTACAGACAGCTCTGGCGTTTCACGCCACATCTTTCTCCCTTGCCTCTGTATTTGTTACTTTAGCTGTTGTGTTGCGGCGACTTATTCCACGTAACAGAGTGGCTGTGGTTCCCTGGTTGCTGAAGGCTTTATTCCCCCGTGTGTCTGGTTAAGCGGGTTCGGACTCTAGATTTCCCCTGACAAAAACAATAGTTTACACCGATGCATTGCGCTCTTGTCTTCAGCACCATTTTGCCCTTAGATAGGAGTTGGCTGGCGCAGTTTGCGTTTGTAGCAGGAACCAAAAGTCTCAGGAAGAAAATAAAGATCTGCTCCCCGTGACCTGCAATGTAAAAGCCAGACGAGCTTGTCTGCAGCTTGCATTAATCGTGAAAGTTGTACTGCGGGGCGGAGCAGACCATACTGTGAACGGCGATCACTTACTGTGCATGTTTATCCTTGAGCAACGGGACACCTCATGTTCAGTTCAGGGATCTTACTGGTTTTTATACACCTTGTTTTCTTCTTTTTAATGCGCATCCTGTATAAAGGCCCTTTAACTGCCGCCTGAGCAGGCGTTAGGTAGAAGAGGCTTGTAGAAATCCTGTCCGCAGCCCAGAACATTTGAGAATCTGTTTCTTTTGTGGGCATCAGAAAGATTTTGATGCTGTGTGAAAACACGCATGCTGTCTGTTTTAGCTCTCTTTTAGCCACTTCTCTCTCTTCTTTCTGTATCTTCTTTTGAAAGTCTTATCTCTGAACAAAGGCATTATCCGTATTTGATGCTGGATTTTATTGCCACTGTTGGGTCCAAACCCTGTCTGAGCAGGAAACAAAGCCTTGTTGTAACCCAGTGAGTGGAAGGTGAGATAGCGATTGCATTGTTCAAAGCGTTGTTTTAGCTGAATGTCACGACAAATTATATTGGAGAGTTTCTTTTCTCACTTAAAATGGCCTGGGAAACAGAATTTTTATTTGCCCTTCAATATGCTTAGCTTTAAACCAGTTTAAAATAATTTAAAAGTGTTTTTTTTTATACAAGACCATATTTACATGCAATTATTATTTGTAAACATAATGCCTTTCTTGAAATGCTAAGGTCTAGAGAGTGAACAGGATGCTTAATATTGAAAGAATAGCACAAGCAGTGAATTGACTTGGAGTTCAGGCAAAGAAAACGCATTTCATTGAGCTGCTAGTGAGCTTTTAATGAAGTGACGATTCCGTGTGGATAAGGTAGATGTTACTGCCTATTCCAGCTGCCCAGATCGTCGTTACACTAAAACTGCAAGCAATAAGCTGTTTTAAACTTGTTTAAGCCAAAACGTTTTCCACTTAGGCACAACAGTACCTTCTCAGTTGAACTCTATTTTCATAACAGTGATGCCTTCTGACTTGAATTGTGATTTTTTTTTTTAATTTTTTTTTTTCCTCTTAACCCGATCTGTATGTAGATGGGTCTGGTTCTATAGGTCACTGGTCAGTTTAACTGACCACCTCCGGTCAGCTGCTGCAGACGAGTTTGTAGAAGGTTCAAGTTTTTAAAGAATTGTGTAAAAGATTGCAAATTGAAATACGAAGACAAAATGATGAAAATGTTCACATGGAACTTAGGAAAACTACATAATGATCTAGACTTTATCATTTCAAAGTGGGTTTTTTTTTCTTTT